TTCGTAGAGTTTTTCACAAAGATTTCTCTGAACAAAAAGCAATAATTGCAATAATAAATCATTAAATAAGTTATTATAATAATCAGCCAATACACGAATTGTTTGGCGACCATCTTCTTTCAATAGTGCCTTCAGACGCTCTTGGTCGAATTCTACAGGTCGTCCGCTTCGAGGCATGTCTTCAAGTTCAAAGTCGCCTATTTCAAGTTTTGCGAACCATTTTTGTGCAGTAGACACATCTATGTAAGACACCTTCCCTGTACACACTGCATATCTCCCGAGCTGTTTCGGCAAGAAAAGCAGATGTCGAAAATGCTGATTTTTTCCTCCTAGATATTCCATTTCTGAGCCAGAAAAAAGACGAACAATTAAACTCCCCAAAAAAACAGATAGAACAGTTTTGTAGAGGAGAAAAAGCTCTTTCGAATGAATGTATACACTTTGCTGAATAACAAAACAAAATGTTGCAAAATAACTCTAACGCAAAACTCTACGAACTTATGTTACAACCCAATAGATTTGTCCGGAACGCATCGACGTCAGTCAGTTAAAACCCCTGATTGGAGATGATGGGATTTGTTTCATGATGGAACTGCCCATCGGCTGACTCCCAAGTCTATCACGGATGAAGAAGCTTCTTTAACTTTGAATCACAATGAGTGGTGTTGGTCGACATGATAAACTCGAACAGTCTTTCATCCTACTCAATCCATTCCGTTCCGTGAGTTTGAGTGGGAGTTTTCCAAGCGTTCTTCTGGAGCGAATCCAAAACACGACGATGACTTTGAAGTGCAGAGCTTTACCAGTTCCATTTAAAACGGTTCCAGTTCTTTTTTTTGGTGAATTGTGTTGATGGTAGGCAACGAAGATTGCCAGAGACAGGTTTGAGCTACATCACTCTTGATCTTTTTCCATTTGTAAGCAGGTGCTCCGAAAATCCCGAATCGTGTTCTCGAGATATTCTTCGACCGACAGCATCGTCTAAAAGAAGTGTCTTGTGAAGATATTCTGATTAGTTTCCATGTTTTTCTTGACAAAAATGAATGGTATTAGCCTGAGGGTACAGATTGAAACAGAGACCATCATGGAAAGGGGAAAACGGCAACCAAAAACGGGTCAGCACTTCTCATCGGGTTCGGCGCTCGTAGTGGGAAACATACGTGTACCCTGAAATGTGAGCAATTCTCTCACATAAAAACCTTTTCTTCAAAGGAAAGCATTTCGAAGAGCGCGCCGCTTGCGAGTAGGGCGCTATATTTGTTTTTCGTTTCGAAATTCCTTTGTCAGCAAGCTTGGGAAGCTTATGAAACCTATCTAGAAACATTTTTATTTGCATGAGGAAGACTCTCCCAATGGAAATGACAGATGAACAGACGCATTCACTTCGCCAACCATTTTTGCCATACTTCTCCAGCTCACGTTTTGCGACTGAATTAAAAAACATGTATTCCCTTTACACCGATATCTGTTGTCATAAAACTTACCAAATACCAATGCTCTGACAATCTCCGCAAGGAAATTAACATACGTGAAGCTAAGAAGGACAATGAAAATCGACTTCCAAAAATGATGGCGTAGCCAACCAACTGCATTTTTAAGTACCATTCTGACTGACCGGGTTGCCACTTCATTTTTTCCGCTTTCGAAACTCTGAGCTCCTTCATTGGGTGTGGCAGCCGAATAGGTACGCGATATGCTCGTAAATGAATGTTGCTTGATCGAAGAGGTTCGGATTTCGTACTGCTTTAGCTGTATTCCACAAAACAAGTTTGATCGGCTGATAATAAAATTCGCAACTGATCTGTGGCAACCATTTCGGAAACGATAGAAATCTCTCATTCCTCTCTATACAGGGTGCGCCATAAATATGGTAACAAAAATATTAGTCTCCAGGAACCGTAGTTCTTATTCATACATGATCAATTTTTGTGAATTCTTTACTGCGCATCACATCTACAAAACGAACACACCATCATCTTATATAGCCATTTCCTGTACTAATTATAGCTCAAAGATGCTCCGGCTGCTCAACGACAGTGACACGCAGAGTTTCTTGAAAAATTCCAGCCCGACCTTTTTTCCGTGATTTTTTAGGAACAGCAACAGTGGTGCGTTTTGAAGCGCAGGCTTTCCTCTCCAGCATGGACCATATCCAGCGACCCATCACATTGTGGTCCGAGAAATTCGTAGAAGGATTGCAAGCTGTGATTAGGTCGCGAACATTTCCTCAGCACCAGTCTTGATCTTTTTCGATTCGTGAGCAAGTGCGTCACAGTTTTCAAGTCGTACCCCTGGAAAAATTTTTGACCCTCGGCTGCATCCTCCCAGAAGAACCCTATTTAAGAGGTTCGGATTAAGTTTTGTACTTTTCCCGACCAAAGTTTGCGATATCGCTGTGATGGTAGGGATTCTAGCCCAAACTAACATGAAAGAGAGAAAATGGCTATGAGAGGCGATCTGACTCTTCTCATCGGCTTTAGCACTCGTAGTGTGACATACACGTATACTCTGAAACCTCAACATTTCTTCTACGCTAAACACTCTTTAGCGAGAGAAAAGTCTGTCGAAGCGCGTGCCGCGCGCAAGTAGCGCACAGCAAATGTTCTTTCTGTTCAGTTTCTTCTCATCAAAATGCTTATAAGGCTTCCGAATCCTATTTAGATACAATTGTATTTACTCAGGGTAGACTGTTCTCATCGGAGTAGAACATACAAATAAATCCGTAGTCATATTTCTCGCATTTCTGCACGTTCTGCGTCATACTCCTTTCCAAGAAATTGTATTCGGAAAAAGGGTCGTATAAGAGACAGGACGACCATTTCGGGGTTGCTTTTGACCTGTCTACGCTACGCGATTCAAGAGACTGTCATGTGGGAAATGTTGAAACGAGGAACGATCCCGGGAAAGGATAACAAATGCGCGCAAAAACGGAACGGTTGGTGGGTGTCTGCGAGGCTCCACCGTTTTTCGAAATCTGACGAGTTGAGAGTACCAAAGTAGATATGTGGGCTAAGGTATATCATGAACATAAGGGGAGGTACAGTTTCGGAGAAACTCTCTAAACAAGGATGTTACGCACGTCCGAAAAATTGTTACCATATTATTTTCAGAAAAAAGCGTGGAGTTCAGCGCTTACCTCTTTTAAGCAGCTTGCTACAAATCGATTGCTGTCCTTTCTTTTCTACGACGAGCCATCTCCTCATCTGTATCACTACCATACCCTTCAGTCTATGATGTAATAGGACCTATTTCATCCAGCCATTGGGGGATTTCTCCTCATATCATTTCTGCTCTAGTGACGGACAGAGTTGTTTCCTATGCTGTCGAATACTTCTGGAGCTCGTTCTTTTTGCGTGATCATGACTAACCAACTGTCCGAAGAGCATTCCCAATTTTGTCTCGTTCTCGTTCGTTGAAGCACATTTTTATAATTATATGAACGGTGCGTTCACATCTTCTATAGTGTCATGAGGATATAAAACCATAAAACTCTTGCAGGAGAGGCACTATGAGAACGGACCGCAAGAAAATGGAAATGCTCAGCTAGAATATTCACAAAAATCCTTCTTTGCTCTGAATTCAGCAATCTGCAAAATGCGACATTTACTGAGCTTTGTGATCTCCTTCGTATCATTTCATTATATTTATGCCAATGAAGATGCGAAGAGGCTGTACGACGATCTCATGGTAAATTACAATCGGCATAGACGGTGAGATTTAACTCTTTTATTGATGAAGCAATATCGGCGCATCAGCCACTTTTTTTCACCTGTTATTTCTCAACACAAGCCCCTGTCGTCTAATCAAAGGCGGTCAGTAGTAAGTTGGAGTATGACGGGTTTAGGGGTCGAAACTAGGAACTGTACATACGTGTGAGTGCTGATAAGCTATGGCATATAAGCCATTAAGGAGGCGAGGGCAAGCGGGATCTTGGAATGTGAGGTATAAGAGCACAGAGCCCGGAAAGCACAAGCACTGTCTCGAGCCCCGTCCGAAACTGAAGGTTTGTCCACAAATCGCCATCCTTGTAAGGTGACATAGTATGCCAGTTACGTTGGAAGGGGTCCAACCGTATAGTATGTAGTTACACATGTCAGTTACGTATTTATTTTCACTTATTTTTACATATCGATAAACTTTATGTACTGAAGGAGATACGATCATCTTCTGTACACTCAGTATGACACGCTGACATATTTCTGCCAAGACTTTGAGAGGTACTATTCAGGCCAGCAAGTGGACCACATGAACCGCTCACAATAAAGCTCAAATTGAGGCTCAGTCAAATCATTGACGTGGTTAGTTTTTAATTATTATAATTTTCACATACCTAACATTACATCACGTTTGAGTATGTCGTTCACCAACGTCAAAGGGGGTCGGCTGTTAGGTATTTGCCTAGAAGTAGATGTGGCATATTAATCGAATTAAGCAGATGATGTACAAGAATCGCAGATGAGGCACGATAAGTCAAATCCTTTTCAAATCAGTATGAAGTTCAGTGAAAGTAAAACAGTGAAGGTTTACCTCCCATTAGTTGAGCCCTTGGGTGTGTTTCTGCATAGGGATCCCACGTAACCTTACAAAAAGCGTAGGTTGCGTAGTTGATATCTCAGGCAACGCAGCAGAAGAAAGACAAAAATACTTCTGACATTGACAGGCTCTCAAATAATCAAATCTTTTCCTTTCAGCATGAGATTGATCAAATCATGACGTGCTCAGTATGGTTAAAGCAAGTGTGGATAGACAAAAAGCTCTCATGGGATCCGGAGAGCTACGGCGGCGTGAGCGTGCTTTACGTGCCTTATGAGATGATCTGGGTCCCTGATATTGTGCTATACAACAAGTGAGTTTTCTTGCTCTATCACAACTGCTACAAATGCCATATTTGATCGAGTAATCTATGGGAGAGATAAAGGATAAAGTTTTCGGCGTTAATCATCCCGTCTGAGAGATGCGCTCCCGCACTCGACTTCCATTAAGAATCGTAGTGGCATATCGAGTGGGTATGTGGCCATACAATGTTTTGCGGTGACCAGCCAATGTACAAGTCAGGGCTTTTAACCTACCAGACGACTTTGGTACTAATTCACCGACCTCGGAGGAGATGAAATGGAAGGCTTGGTTGGCCTAGGCAGATATCGATCCGTGGTTTGAACCCGTGACTGTGCGTGTGATATAGTGCGCCCCTTACCATTATACCACCTCCGCTGCATAAAGGGAGGTAAAGGTGACGAGTATGACTGCTATGAAGGCAACTTGGTACATGCCTCTCCTTTTAGTGAGTGAGTGAGCTAGCACAAGATCTAGTTGGATCATTTTAAGAACGTCGTCTTCGTTGATTGCGAAATTGCCTTCTATCACGTTCTTTGGACACTGAATGGCTTGCTCTAATTTATGCTCATGAGCTAATTACCGCATCAATAGCATTTAAAGAGTGGTTTGAATGAGAAATTTTGGGTTTTTTTTTCAGTGCGGACAGTAATTATAATATAACCATCTCAACGAAAGCTACACTTCATTATTCTGGAGAAGTCACGTGGGAGCCGCCGGCTATATTCAAAAGCATGTGCCAAATTGACGTCAGATGGTAAGTTGATTTGAAGGAACAGGCATTAGTATTAAATAAAGTGCTATTGCATTCCTTTCTGATTTTCACGTCTGGGACGCCTACTTGAAGTTTTTTGCATCTGATTAGGTGGGTCACTACTTCGTTCAGCTCAGGCCAACGTCATCACACGACGGTGATCGGCTGGTTTTTGAGATTTGAAGCGGGAGGGGCTTGTTACCAAGTAAAAAGTGTGTGGTAGAGACATCGATGAATGGAATAGAGCGGCAACATTGCTGCATAGCCAGAGGCCAGCATAAATACCGAGGATTGAACAGTCAGCCAGATCCATCAGGGTGGGGTGGGGGTCACAGCAATATCAGGAAAAGCAGTAAGGCTGGAAGCGCTTGGCTTTTAATAATTCTCTCCCCTTAATCAATTTTTTGTTCTGAGCTTTGATGACCTACGTGCTAACCTTACTCTTTACAGGTTTCCTTTTGACGAGCAGCAATGTCATCTAAAGGTACGCGAGGTCTACTTTCATTTGGAATTTTTTGAATTTAACTAAAGCTTATATTTAGTTCGGCTCGTGGACTTACTCAGAGAATTTGCTAAATTTGGAGCTTCTGGAGAATAACGTNCGTTACGAAGAAGAAGTAAATGAGCAGGGCATCGTTGATAATATCACTATAGCCGACGATGGTATAGGTCAGTCAAAACCCAACATATTCCACTCATCGAAAACCATTACTGCAACTGAGATGATTGTTTGTAACATGGGCACAAAAGTCAATATAATCACTGGAGTTATTTGTTTTGCCTGTATTACAGATCTCTCCGATTACTATCCATCTGTGGAATGGGATATCATGTCGAGAGTGGCTCGACGGCGATCAAAAAACTATCCAAGCTGTTGCCCACAAAGCGCGTACATTGACATTATGGTAAGACAAGTTTTTTCTTAGATGGGAACACATAGTTCGAAACTAGTCAATTCATTGAGATGGTTATACTTTCAGTACTATCTGGAACTTCGACGTAAACCGCTTTTCTACACGGTGAATCTAGTCTTCCCATGCGTAGGGATCTCGTTCCTCACCATTCTCGTCTTCTATCTGCCGTCCGATTCTGGTGAAAAAGTCACCCTCTGTATATCCATACTTGTCGCCTTAACTATCTTCTTCCTGTTGTTGGTAAGTGGAAGTTTTTATATGAAAGAAAATGGATTCTATAAAAGATCACTTGGAGCCACGCGAGCAGGCCTGTGATGATCCTGTACGCCCCTCCCACCTACCGAAGAGGGGTATGAATTTCCCGAGGGCCCAGGAAATCACGAATTCCAAGGCTTCATCGCAGTTTTCATGACTTTGTGATACAGTGTCACATGCAGTGAAATAGATGAAATAGGAAGGATTCCAGACGACCAATATTCTGTCACGTCTACGGCACAATGGAAAGAGGTTTTGTGCAAGGACTTGGGGTGTGTGAGGGGTGTAGCAAGGCTGCGTAGCATCAGAACCATCCACTCGAGCCAGTGCCGACAGCCAGGACTCGGACTACTGTATCATAAAGTAGCGGGCTTCAAAAACTGCCTTGTCTGCTTCGAACCACCTGCAACGAAGGCCTCTCTGTAGTGATTTGTTAACAATTTGTACAAAGGTTTCAACGAGTTTTCACGTTCTCAAAGTATGCAGCGAAGGGGCCCGTCACATTTCGGAAGTGCGCGAGCGAGAAATCGATCAACACTTGTCCCTCAACAATTTTACTCACTTTTGTGATAATAATTTCGATTTCCTTCCTTTTTTAGACCGAAATCATTCCTGCCACATCGATAACCCTGCCATTAATCGGAAAATATTTGTTATTTACCATGGTCATGGTAACACTGAGCGTCGTTGTTACTGTTATTTGTGAGTTCCTTAAATACTTTATCTTTTTCAAAAAGTCTTCCTTGTCTCTCTCACCCACATTGTTCAGCTCTAAACCTGCATTTTCGAACCCCGACCACTCATTTGATGCCTAAATGGGTGAAATTAGTGTTTCTGAAATGGCTGCCGAAGGTTCTTTTCATGAGGAGACCCCTTGATGATGGCGATGAATCGTTCAGGAGAGTCAGCTCCAGGAAAGGAATAGGTGAGTACTCCATCCTAGCGGTACTTAATTGATTGCGTTTGGTCGTCGTACTGAAGAAAACGGTCAGTAGAAAGCGTTTCCTCACCAAATGCTAGCTACGAAATGTCTATTGAATGAAGTGACCTGGAAACATTGGGTGAACTACCGAATAAAGGCATTCTTTATGGCGTTCCTGGCATTCTGTGCGAAAGAGTCATCAACTGGCCTTCGATTTCTCAATGTGGTTAGCTCCAAGCTCCCTACCCAGCTCGGTCAAGCTCCGGTTACAACTGCTCCCAGCCCGGCTTTTCACCCATCACTGTGATGACCCATGCACCTTTTCAGAAGCAGGTTGTAGACGAACTACATGCATATACAGACCGAAAGAGGCAGACAAACATATAAACTAATAAACAATATACAACAAAATTATAAAAAACACGATACTTTTCAAGCACTCTCAGAAAAGTTCTTTTTGTGGAGTCAGCATAAATTTATTCCGACTCTTCGATTTCCAAACACACCCATGGATGGTGTCAGAAAATATGGGAGTCATTCCCAAGAACATAGCAACTAATAAATACATGGCTGCCTTCTACACTCTTCGACAATGACCTGTTTTTCATCTTTAAAAAAAGGTCAGAATTGAAAAGAGTGGTTTTATTATGAATTACAGTGCGTTTCATGATTATAAGGTCACCCTCAAATTTCGCACTTTCATAAAAAGCAATCATTAAGGATTTTTTTCTAGCATCATGAACGGATTCCCCAGCACGAATAACCTAGGTATCCGCTTTTTAGTAGCAGCTGCATTTTTCTGAACTTTTTTAGAACAGTTTATCGGTTTTTGCACCGTTTCATAATTATAAGGTCACCCTGAGAAAGTGAACAATTATTCGTGGGAGAGAAGAAATTTCGTGTTTGAAGATACTTATAAAGGTAAGCATGTGTAGCTAATGCATTTCTAAACCTGGCTGTCAACATGGCTCGTAGTCATCTGCTTTCCTCTAATGAGAAGGCTCATCATGAAGGTGGGCTCAGTACTCGAGCCATCTCCAGGCAAATAGGGAGATCCCATTGGTCCATTCAAAGATTTCTGGAGAGCCTTGATGTCCCTAGATATAACGCCG